TGAGGTCAGACACTGATGTTGGACGAGAGGGTCTGGCTCACAATCTCCGTTCTAGTTCATCCCATAGGTGTTCAGTGGGGTTGAGGTCAGGGCTCTGTGAGGGCCACTGGAGTTCCTCCACACCAAACTGGTCACTCCATGTCTTTATGGAGCTGCTTTGTGCACAGGGGCTCAGTCAGGCTGGAACAAGAAAGGCTCTTCCCCAAACTGCTGAGACAAAGCTGGAAGCAGATAACTGTGTAAAATGTCTTTGTGCTGTAGCATCAACATCACCCTTCACTGGAACTGAGGGGCCCAAACCTTGAGAAACAGCCCAGCCCATCATCCCTCCTCCACCAAACTCTACTGTTGGCTCTGCATTCCGGTAGGTGGCGTTCTCCTGACATCCAACAAACCCAGATTCATCATCAGACTGACGGATAGTGAAGCTGATTCATCGCTCCAGAGAACACGGTTCCTTGTGTGCAGCTGTTCAGACATGAGGACCAATTTCATGAAGCTCCTAACACACAGATCTTGTGCTGATGATGCTTCCAGAGGCAGTTTGAAACTCTAGTGATTCAATAGAGGATAGACACTGTGCTCTTCAGCACTCAGCAGCCCCACTCTGTGAGTTTGGTGGTCTACCGCTTCAAGGCTGAGCTGTTGTTGCTCCTGGACGCTTCCATTTCACAATGATAGCACTTACAGTTGTCTGGGGCAGATCTAGCAGGACAGAAACTTCACAAACTGACTTGTGGCAGAGGCGGCATCCTATGACAGAGCCATGTTTAAAGTCACTGAGCTCTTCAGTACGACCTCCTACTGCCAGTGTTTGTCTATGGAGACTGCAAGACTATGTGCTTGATTTTATCCATCTGTTAGCAATGAGTGTTTGAAATGAGAAGATACATCCTCCCACAAATTAACCTGTTCTGGGCATTTAATAGCATGAAGTTTGTTGGTTTCACTTGACATTTTAAATTGATATAAAATGAAATTCTTATATTTATGCCAATTAATATTTTAGCTCCAATCAGTCATTCTGTAAGTAGCTAAACTCAGCTAAAGCATTTGGTGTCTTCAGTCTCCAGCTTTTTTGGAACGTGCTGCGGGCATTAGATTTGGAATGAGCATATATTTACAAGTTGATAAGGTAAACATCAAATACTGTAATATTGTACTGTGTTTAGTTTAAGACACGTCAATCAGAAGTTACTTATCACTGCTTTCTGTTTTTATTAGTGTTTCACACACTGTCCCAACTTTCCTGGAATTGGGTTCATATGAATACTGTAGACAAGCCCCATATGGATATATAGAATATATATATATATATATTCTAAATGTATTTTTCAAATACATTTTCGTTCTGTATGAAAATGGCCAAAAAATGTTTTTGTTAAATACACTTTGAAAAGGCATTTATCTGTATGTGTTATTATCTGTGTTGAGTTGTGTGTATTGAAGGTTACAGATGTAACTAAATGTACTGACCTCTGTGTTCTGCACTGTACTTTACATTAACCATGTACGTCTGCAGTCAGACTCTCACACACAACGTATTTCACATAAACAAGATATCAGATCATAACTGCATTTTCACAGAGTATCAATACCCACAACACTCGCTTCTGTCCTGTTAAAGGATCATTTGATCAGATTTAAAATGAAGAGACTGGAAATTCATTTCTAAAGGTATCAGACAGTGAAGAGCATCAGACAGGATTGTAGATATTTTTATACATTTTCTAATGGATTTGATAAACAAATTTACATACATTTATTTTTGTATAGGGCATTTATATGTGTAATATTTCCCCATATATTTAAAATAAATGAAATATAGTTTTAAAATATTTGGTTAATATGGGAATATATTCCGAAATATATTTTAGTGTTTGGAATGTATTTCAGCATTGACTGCAGTGTCTTTGAAATATATTTTAAATATGTAAGAATATGCGTCCATATATATATGTTTTTCCATATGGGGCAGGGCTTCTTCATAAAGAAGGCTGATTTAAATCTTGAGGCTCAGGGTGAGAATCTGTTGGGCCAGTTGAGTGAGGAATGTGTTTCTGTGCCACATTTGGAAGAAAGACTGTAAATATGCGTGAGTGGGTGTGAACATGTTAATTAACGTGTTAAACTGTCCTCGACCGTCCCGACTACGCAGTTCGTGTGAGTTTGTGTGGACGGACTAATTTCGTGAGCGAGCTGGTTTAAGCGTGCGGCCCATCACGCTCGGCTCGGCGGGGAACGCCTGCCCCAGAGCTTTGTCTCTCACTTGCCTTTCAACTACAAAGGCCTGTCGAGATGAGAAACAAACAGCCGACTCCCTCCCTCCCTCTCTCTCTCTCTCTCTCTCTCTCTCTCTCTCTCTCTCTCTCACTCACTCTCTCAATCTCTCTCTCCCCCCTCTCTCTTCCTCTCTCTCTCTCTCTCTCTCTCCCTCTCTCTCCCTCTCTCTCCGATGTGTTAACTCCGCATAGAAAATGTCTGTTTGTGGACTCGGGCTTTTCATCAGCGGGCGAAGAGGCTGTTTGGTGCAGCCCCTCCACAGGAGATAGGAAAAGGAGTCTTTTCTCGTTCGCTTTTTTCTTTTCCTGTACCAGATTCCCCCGAGCTGCTTCACCTTGATAAGATAATCACAGTAAACAGCGTGTGACATATCAGAGATACGTCCTCTTTTCCCCCTACGTTCAAAAGAATTCGAGGCGTCTCAGAGGTCTTTGAGGAACCGATGTCCTTTTTATTGTCAGCAAAAAAAGGAAAGAAAATTACGAACATTCTTCACATCCTTTCTTTTACTCGTGTCTTCAAAATAAATTAGAGAAAAGACTCGATTATAACACGTCGAATTTCTGTAGCAACGGCTAAAAAAGGCATTTCGTTTCATCACTGGAGAACTCCTTCACTTTCGCTTCCACTGTCGCGTTGGTGTCCTTTTTTCTCGCTCATCAATAATCAGCATATGCAGTGGCTGTCCTTGATTTCTCTCTGGCTGATGGAGGTATTTTAATAACAGCTACACTGCATTGCCTTCAAAAAGCTCTTTTCCTTTCAGATTAGTGAATGCTGAATTCAGAATTAGGCCTTTCTTTCATAAATCTCTTTGTCGTATTTAACGATACGTAACAAAATACCTCGGACAGTCTCTTTTGAAGAGTAAGCGAGGTGTAATTCTTTTACAAATGTAAGAAAAAGGAAAACGAAAGTTGTGAATCGCTCCCATTCGAGTCAAAGAACCCAGGCTTGTCTTACCAACCGGCTTCACTGCGTTACAATTTAAGACATTTAGAACAGCAAAACAGAACTTTGAGTCGAAAACCACACTGTCACGTCTGCAGAACACCAAACCATCTCACCACCGGGCATCAAATCGGATCTAGAGTGGACCTACCAGCAGTGCCGGCTCTACCTAATTAACGACATAAGCAGCGGTTGAGGGCCCTGTGGCCACCAGGGGGCCCCCTAACAACTTTACGGTGCCATTGTGTTGCCTAAGATGAAGTTTCTAGAGTATGGAGGCTCTAAGAGGCCTTTACTTGTGTTCTCTGGGGGTAAATCAAGCTGATATGTACTGTCCTAAGTTAAGTGTACAACTCAGAACATTAATATGTGTAAAAATGTTCCTCAGCTGATAAAATTCACTGATTACAGCAAAACAGGCGGTTAAGATAAACGAAATAGTGGCTAAATTCAATGTTTTGATGTGTTTTCTGCTCTTTTTGAGATCCAGAACGCTGTGAAGGTTGTCTGTAAATCTAAACTGTACAGTCCTAAAAAGATGGTTCTTCAGGGGTTCTTTAGTGAAGAGAATAGCTCTATTTAGAACCATGAGCTCTATGTAGAACGAATTCATGCTTAAATTGTTCTTTGCATGGTGAAATGGTTGTTCTGACTGATGGAGAATGTGTTGTATGTGGTTCTATGTATCCAGATGCTAAACAGAACCATTTTCAAAAAAGTTCCATATAAATAAAACCAAAAACAACACATTCTCCATCAGCTTAAACAACCATTTCACCAGGCAAAGAACCATTTAAGCATGCAGTGGTTCTAAATAGAACCCATAGTTCTAAATAGAGCCATTCCCTTTACTGAATACTATTTGCAGAACCTTCTTTTTTTAAGAATGTAACTTATTAGAACCCCAAACGAGCAACCAGTCATTAGCAATACACAATTAGGCAGTTATGAACATATATGATTCCGACAGCTTGGTGTGGTCATTGTTAATTTAATAGTACGTCATCTAGCGAGATGAGGGGACCCCCGAAAAATCCTGCTTAGGGTCCCAAAAAAAAGGTAGAGCCGGCCCTGCATATCAGCTTAGTCACAATATGTCAAACAAAAGCAAAGAAGAAGAAGAAAAGTAAAGTCACTGTCCTTCCTGAACGAAGGGTCTTTTGTTCGCACATTCAGGTTTCCAGGAAGGTTTCCGTTAAGAATGGGAAGTAAAACAGAACATCGACGCTCTTGACGAAGCTCACGCACGAGAAGTTTCAGTCGACAGTTCAAAGACGGAGCATTTTTCGGGAGGGAAAACATCCCCAAAAGTTCTCGGGCCTTTTTACCGCGTGACGATGAAAAGATCAAGTCCCGCCATCAGATACGGAGGAGTTTCTGTGGCTGGCCAGAAGCCTGGTGTCACACTTTTTTATGTCTTTCCCTCAAAGCTTTTCCCGCCTGGCAGATCACAGCATTTGAACTGCCAAGCCTCATTAAGTCACACTACTTCAAACCCTAAACATGTAAACAAACAAACTCCTAATCTCAAATCTGTTTTTTCCCCCGTCCTTCCCTCGTACGCCATGATCTAAATCCAGGGACCTTCCTATATTCTCCACCCACAGCAGAACTGACGACAACGTTCAGGAAAGTTCTAAAACATTCATCTTGGTAAAGCTATAAATGCTAGTTTGAACCCAGGTACTTTACTCTGCCTTACCCTCCTAATACAACTCCTCTAGTCCGACTTCTGTCAAGTTTTTTTTTGCCAAAGATGAGCGAGGCTACGAGAAAACGCCGCTACCTTCCATCGTTCCGTACAGGTCTGCGAGTTTTTTGAAGCGCGGCCCCCAGTTGCTGAGGTAGTCGTAGCTCTGTTCTGAGTCCGAGCTCAGAGATTCGAGCGAGCTGAGCGATTCCGCCACCGAACCAGTGCCTTCGAAGGCGTAGGTCTGCAGCGAGTCGTACGGCGGCGCCGTAGGGTCCACGTCGGCCTCCTTCAGCCGGTCCCAGATGAACTCTCGGAACAGGACGTTGTCCGGAAGCGCCTTGTACGCCGCTCTGGAGGCCGAGGTCGGCGGGTAGGAGAAGAACGTGGGGGTCTCGGGAGTGACGTCCCGCCTAACTTTGGGATCGCGCATGATGTTGAGGTTGCGCAGGGTGACCATGTCGAAAGCCTCCGTGTCCTCCTCGCCGCCACCTTCGTCGTCGTAGCGGACGATGTTCTCCCGAACGTCTCGCTCGTCCTCCAGGATCAGGGGCTCCTTCCGCCGCCGCCGCATCGTCACGATCAGCAAGACGAGAACTGCAAAACACACACAGGCGCAAATATTCAGTAAAGGTCCACCCAGCTAGCGGGGAACGTTGGCTAATGTTACCTCAAGTTCTAACAAAGTTTTAAAGAAAACGTTCTAATCTAATGTTCAAAGAACATTTTAAGGATGTTTTTCATTTCAAATAATGTTCCTATAGGGTTAAATGTTAAGGGTGTTTTGAAATAGTTCTCAGATGTTGATGATGTGTTTAGAGAACGTTATCCCACCTTTAAGAAGAACATTCTGTAAACAACAGAAAAAAAAATGCTAAAACATTAATAGAACGTGTGTGTAATACTGTTAGAACATTTTTAGAACAAATAAGTTCTAGCTGGGTATCTATTATTAGCAAATCACATAGAAAACTCCTATTATAACATTCTGCTCAGTATGAAATACTGTAAATCAGGGCTGTTTTGATTTTCATGTTAACTACACCCTTAAAAAAGATGGTTCTTCAAAGGTTCTTTAGTAAAGAAAATAGTTCTATATAGAACCATGAACAGTCAAAGAACCCGTTGCATGATTATAGGGTTCTTTGCATCATGAAAGGGTTTAAAGATAAAGGGAAAATGTGCTGTAGATGGTTCTGTATACAACCTTGTTGAAAAGGGTTCTTTATAGCACCCAAAAGGGTTCTTCTATTGTTACAAAGTCAAGCTTGTAACAATAGAAGAACCCTTTTGGTTGCTCTATAGAGCTCTTTTCAACAAGATTCTTTTTAGAACTGTCACAGCACATTCATGCACATTTTCCATCAATCCGAAGAACGCTTTCAAGATGTAAAGAACCCGTTAATCATGCAAAGGGTTCTTTGAGTGTCCGTGGTTCTATATAGAACCATTTTAGGTAGCACTTTATTTGGATAGGCAACTTTAGATGCTTTGCAGATGCTTAAGTTACTTTCGAGTTGCATTCAACTAAATATCTACTAAACCGACCATAATTCTCTTTAACTCTAAACCTGCTCTAATCCTAACCTTAACCTTAGCCTCAACCCTAAACCTAAACCCAACCCTCACCCTGGTCCAAACCCTAACCCCAACCCCATCACTGTTTAGAATCAACTGAGTTCAAGAGATCGTTTGTTATCAGTTTGATCATCTGATAGATAATCTAAAAGGGACTATAGTGGACTATCCAAATAAAGTGAGTCCAGATTTTCTTTAGTAAGGAACCCTTGAAGAACCATCATTTTTAAGAGTGTATTTTATCCCAGTTTAGCTTTAGCTTATTGAATATTATTAGCTTTGTAGCTTATTTGGAGGGTCAGAGGTGCACATGCTTCCTCCGATCCAGGAGACCACCAATACAACGAGGGCTCCAAACTGGGAAAGAAAGAAGGAAACAAAAAAGAAAGATGAAGAAAACAGAAACACAAACCATATTTTTCTAGGAACTGAAATTTAAAAAAAATAAGAAAGAAAGAAAAAAAAAACAATCACTCTTAAGTGTTCCACAACAAAACATTGGAAATCGTTGTTAAATAATAACAAAGAATATTGTTAAATAAGAACAAATATATTCCACAATATGGACATACAACGTAACTGGAGATCATGATGATGATATGAAAAGCAATAAATTATTATTAAAATAATGTGCCTTTGTGTGTAGAGATACTCTTATGTGACAAACTTCCCACAAATAAAATATAAAAATGACAAAAGCAGCATTTCACAACAATCTAATCAATAATAATTTAAGAGTCGCGCTCATCAGTGTAATAGATGGTTCTTCAAGGGTTCTTTAGTAAAGAAAACGGTTCTATATAGAGCCATGAACGCTTAAGGACCTTCTCTGTATGATGAAATGATTCTTCAGACTGATGGATGTTGTGTATATGGTTCTAAATAGAACCTTTTTGAAAAGGGTCCCATGCAGCACTCTATTGCATACAGCCTTGATATCGTAATAACAGCAGAACCTTTTTTGCTGGTCTGGAACACATTCCCAATCAACCTGAAGAACAGTTTCACCATGCAAAGACCCCTTTAAGTAGGCAAATGTTCTTTGAGTGTTCATGGTTCTATACAGAACGATTTAATTTACTAGAGAACCCTTGAAGAGTCCTTGTTAAGGGAGCAGTGCCGTTGACGTTTCAGGCAGTGCGGTGCTGCAGACTGTTTGGAGAGCGAGCTGTTTTTCTCTGGTGCCAAGTCAGAATGTAAACTTGGCCGTGGCAGTCGGTGCTAACGCTCGCGCTCGTGCTGCTGTCGGTAGCCCACTGTGCCGATTCCTGCTCCTGAGCCAAAAACTAATCCACCATTAACATTCAAATTAACCCTAGAAGTCACAGCTACCCCTGCTGATAACAGAGCGTGGTGTAATCTGATATTAATTATTTCTCACTCACAGCTCCTTCAAACAAGCAGAGAAAGCTGGCAGCAAAAAGGAAAACAGAATGAAATAAACATTCTTTACATTTTTGTTATTGCTTTGCATCAAAACAGAGATAAAATGCTATCTTGGCAAGTGAAAACAAGAAATTCAGTCAATGTATAGAATCATCCTTCAGGGTCGCAGGGGGAGCTGGAGTCTATCCCAGCGGACATTGGGCGGAAGACAGGAAACACCCTGGACAGGCCACCAGTCCATCACAGGGCAGACAGACATACACATTCACACCTGGGGCAATTCAGCATCTCCAATTGGCCTGATTGGCTGTCTTTGGACTGTGGGAGGAAACCGGAGCACCTGAAGGAACCCACCCAGACACGGGGAGAACAGGCAAACTCCACACAGAGAGGACTCTGGTCACCCAGCTGGGGAATCGAACCCAGGCCCTTCTGGCTGTGAGGCGACAGCGCTACCTCACTTTATATAATATTTCTCAATTTTGAGATTACTGTAAGATTATTATAAGATTATTTGACTTATTTTGAAACATTTAAGCATCCATCCATCATCTAAACCGCTTATCCTTCTGGGTCGCGGCATTTTAAGCATGTTTTATGTAATTTTATGCAGGGAAATTGTTTCATTCTACTGGCAGAATATTCTTGTCTTGATCAGGTGCCCACTGCTCACCCGCCTTCTGGACCAGTTTGACCACAGCTGTACAAAGCTGTGCAAACCTCACCTGCTTGAACTGACCGTTCTGATGCTGCTGCTGCTGCACAGACTCAGACTGTCTAATCAGAGCCAGTGCTTCACCTGCTTTTCCTCTTTTCTGTATTTTAAAACGTTAAAATCTTGTTCTCTGTTCATTTTGCTCGTGTTATTGTTTGCTATTCTGTGTGGTCCAGAGGAGGATGGGTTCCCCTTTTAAGTCTTGGTTCCTCTCTTAGAGAGTTTTCTTGCCACTGTCGCCATTGCCGATGCTCAGTGGGGCTCAGGCCTGGATTTTTCTGTAAAGTTGCTTTGCGACACCTGTTGTGAAAAGCGCTACATAAATAAACTTTGACTAATATTGACTAATATTGACTGCTGATATTGACTCGGCACGGTGGCGCAGTGGGTAGCGCCGTCGCCTCACAAGAAGGGCCTGGGTTCGATTCCTGGCCGGGTGATCAGGGTCATTTCTGTGTGGAGTTTGCCTGTTCTCCCCGTGTCTGCGTGGGTTTCCTCCGGGTACTCCGGTTTCCTCCCACAGTCCAAAAACATGCAGTCAGGCTGATTGGACACGCTAAATTGCCCCTAGGTGTGAGTGAGTGTGTGACTGTCTGTCTGTCTGCCCTGCGATGGACTGGCGACCTGTCCAGGGTGTATCCTGCCTTCTGCCCAATGACAGCTGGGATAGGCTCCAGCACCCCACCGCGACCCAGAAGGATAAGCGGTTTAGATGATGAATGTATGTAATATTGACTCTCACAATTAGACATATTAGATGTAACGACTATTTTTTTCAGTGAACACACTGAACGGTAGGCACTAATTACTAATTTGTTTAATTGGAGCAAAAATCAAAGCTGACTGAAGTGTGAAGTTCATGTTCAGCACAAAAATTCTACACGTTTTCAGCTTCGTTAGGTGACATTCTTTACATATCAAAGTAATTGTGACAATAAAAAAGTGATTAAAGGGCAGAAATGCAGCACCAGGCAAACCCGTCATTACATTTCCACTCAAAACAGCCATTAAGTGTAAGTTATTCAGTGATTCACTGATCAACTCAGCGCTGTGGGTCTGAAAGGATGTGTAGCTGTCAAGAAGAACCTCACTGAGAAAAGGAGACGGACACATCAAACAAAGAAGCTAAATGATGGACTGACCACCCCAGAGTCCAGACCTCAACACCACTGAATGTGTTTGATTACTTCAGAAAATGATCAACCAGCTTCTAAGACTGAACTTTGGAGGTGAGTCTGCAGATTCTTTGAGGAACTGAAAGTGAGGCTCCTGAAAAGAACAGAAGCTGGAATAAAGGTGACTCAGTGACACTCAAACAGCTGAGAGTAGAGTTAGTGTGATTTTCTCTTAAATATATAGAGCTGTGCAAAACCATTAGGCACCTAAGAAACTGTGAATTAAAAAGCAGTTTATCGGGTTAATCTTCAGAAAAAATGCAAATATTATAATAAATATAAATAACATTAATGCAATAAGCAGTGATTTTTATGTTGATGTGTTTTCTTTAACCATTTCCAAACCTCTCCTCGAGGAAGCCCAGTAATATTTGTAGTCTGCTGGTTGAATGCTTGAGATGTCTGGGGCGTCAAGGAGAAATCTGAACCAAACTTTTTAAATATTAAATTCTCTAATTATTCTAATGATAAATTGTGTTTTTATTTACAAGCAGAAACAAGATAAATGGTTTTAAACACTGTGCTTGGATTTCGGCACTGTACTGTAAGTTTTCTGCTTTTTTCCTGAGTCTCTAAAATTTTTGGAATTTTTTTTTATTATTTCTCATTTAAAGAGAAATAAAACAAAAAACAAACAAACAACCCCCTCCCCATTCCAGCTCTAACCCACAGACAATTGGGACTTAGGACACATGTAAATCGAGTTACATCATTCACAACTTAAACACATCATATAGAATAAG